GGAGGAGGTCACATGTAGACCCTCATACAGGAACAGAAAACCTCATCTTTTTTTTTCACTGAGAGTTTGTTGGTTTGAACTGCCAATGTTGCAGTTAGTAGCGCAATTTTACCTAAAAGCACCATCAAAGTCCACTGCCACCTAATGAATTCTGATTCATAGGGATCCTACAAGAGGGTTTCTGAGGCTTTCAAACTTTACAGGAGCAGACATCCTCATCTTTGTCCTGAGGAGTGGCTGGTGGATTTCAACAGACCACCTTGCAACCCAACATTTATCTGGCAGTGCCAGCAACTACAGAAGCCAAACTCACTGTCATGGAGTCGATGCCAACTCAGAGGGAACCTGTAAGACAGAGGAGATGAGCTGATGGTTTCTAATTGCTGACCTTGCCGTGAGCGGCCTAACTCAGAGCCACTTGGTCACCCGGGCTCCTGGCAGCACCAACAGACATCTCGAATTCAAAAACAGAGAAATCCAAATTACACAAATAAGAAGAACCCCTCCACTCCCCCCCCAGAGTTTGACCAAAATGCACACGATGACTAAAATATCTGGTGGGTGGGGGCGGGAAACCAGGTGCTTCCCTATATTCATTTGTGAGATTATGAATTGGTACAGCAGCATTAAAACAGAATTTCAGCCATATTTATCACCATTTGCAGTGATCACATTCCTTCTATTTTAATCCAGTGTGTATGTGTCTTTGCTTTTCCTGGTGGCACTATTTGGGAAGCATTGAATGTTGTATCTCAAGGTCAGCAGTTCAAACTGCACTCGAGCACTAGGTTGATGGAAGGCTACTGTTACAACAAAAGTCCCAAATCCATTTTTGCGTCCACATAGATTAAGGCTTCATTTGATGCTTGCTGACCATTGGCCAGCAGTGTATGTAGCTTTCCCCATTGGTAAAGTGTGTTCGAGGGTGGATTACTACCACTCTCCTGGCCATTCTAGGGAAGGGCAGTCTAGGTGTGAGAGACTTGCCCAAGTGTGCCCTCGATGGAAATTGGGCTTTCAGAGTCTGCATGGTTTTGAGTCATATCCTCACTCCCTTAGTCACAGGACCCTGAATCGATCTTGTTCATTTTTCTATCTCAAATAATGTACATGTCCCAATCACAGCCAAATTCCTCCTTCTGTAGTCCCACCTGAAATTGTGATGCATGGATCTGCCACCAATCATGCACATGTGACAGTTTCCCTTGTACTGCCATGTTCGATTTAAGCAGCCAAGCTTCTTTGGTTGTAAGTATGGCCTTATTCCGATAGTCTCCCTCATCAGATGTATTGTCTGTCTTTGTGTTTTCTTTGTCCTGTTTAAGACTTCATGAATGTGAGCTCTCTTGTCTCCCCTGGAACAAAACCCACCAACTGTTCCGAAGAAGATGAGACTACCCACTCCTGTAAAGATTTACAGCTTGGGACACCTATTTGGGTCAAAATGAATTATAATCGCCTCCACGGCAGTGAGTTTGAGTTTTGAGCCTTTACTGTAAGAACACATGCATATTTGTCCATGGGGATTGGCTTCAAAGCACCAATCTTCCGTCCATCAGTCCAATGCTTAACACACTGTGCTAATAGGGCTCTTTGGAAGATGCCATTCTGGCCCTCAAATGCCTTCAAGTGACAAGCATGGCTTCTGCTGACATTTCAATCACAAGGCCAGTCATGTGAAGCTTCCTGTTGTCCAGGGGACTAGAAACATAGTCTCCACAAGAAACCAGGGATGATTGCAGAAGTTGCTGAGCACTGCACTCTCTTTGAGAACCTGCTACATTGTAGGTATTCAATAAAGGGCAGTAGTGAGCTATGCATTGAGCTGTTAACTGCCAGTTCATTGGTTCAAATGCACCAACTGCTCCGTGGGAGAAAGGCAAGGCATTCTACTCCTGAAAAGGTTTAAAGTCTCATAAGCCCAAAGGGACAGTTGCAATCTGCCCTCATATTCTCAGAGCCATGGAGTTGATTCTGACTCATAGCGACTCTCTAAGACAAGGTAGAACTGCCCTGTGGATTTTCAAGACTGTAAATCTTTAAAGGAGTAAAAGGCCTTGTCTTTCTCCCATGGAGTGGCTGATGATTTCAAACTGCTGACCTTGTGGCTAGCAACCCAATGTGTAACCCATTAGGCCACCAGAGCTCCGTTACTCTGCCCTATAGGGTCATTCTGACTTAGAATTGGCTTGATGGCATTTAGTTTGGTATTATAAGTTTTAGAGGGGAAAACGGACCTTTTTATTCTTGGATGAGTGCCTGAGGAAGCCATAACTGCTTTGTAATTCTTCTTCTCTTTTTGTCTCAGTCCCTGCTCTCTGACAAAGGAGCCCGGGTGGCACAGTAGATTATGTTCTTGGCTCCTAACCATCAGGTCAGCAGTTTAAGCTCACCAATCACTCCATGGGAGAAATATGAGGCTTTCTGTTCCCATCATGATTTACAGCCTCGTAAATGCAAAAGAGCAGTTATACTGTCCTATAGGGTCACTGAGAGTCAGAGTAGACTTGATGGTAGAAATCGGGTTTAGTTTGGTGTACTATGTGAGAAGGCTTTCAAATACAACATCACATCGGTTTTCAAAATCCATCAAACCCACTGCCATTGAGTTTATTCTGACTTATAGGGAGCCCCCTATAGAATTGCAGAGACTGTAAATCTTTACAGAAACAGATCGCATCATCTGTGTGCCATGGAACAGCTAGTGGGCTGGAATCACTGACCTAGCAGCTAGTAACCCGCACCACCAATTTTCAAAAGGATGTTGTAAACCTCTGCAGGGGGGATTCAACTTTCTTCATTCAACAGTGTGTTTCTGCACTGACCTTTGCAATGACCTCTATCACTTCAAAAACCTAAGAACAATTACATGAAAGGGTCTGTTTTATCAGAGAAGTACAATGGTGAGGGATGGGACAGGTAGGAGGACACTGTAGGGAGTTGGATGCTCTATGTCAAGGGAATGGCAAGGGATTCTGGGCTACCTGTTCCACAGGGAGCAAGCGCAGTTATCAGAAGAGACAGGCTTGAAGGATGCAGGATTGCTCACTGGAGGGGAAGTGTTGGGGGTAGATGTGGGGTGGGTGCGTTAATATAGGAAAATTCTGGGACTGGACCCATGCGCTAGCACTTAGGCAAGATTAGGATTGTAGGATACTGGGGATACAGGCAGATAGGATGCTTCTGAGTGACTGAAGCCCACAAATAATTCCAAATGTGGTCAGTTTCCACTTTCACCTTCTTTAGATACACCCAATTCTATTAAGATGGGCACGGTCTCCTTTTCATCCCAAAAGAGACATTTTGGAGCAGTAAGAAGAAAAGTGACAGAAGAGATGAAAAAAAAAAAAAAAATGGACTGCCCATGGCTGGGAAGAGCGGAAACAGCGTGTGCTGTAAAGGAAACCAGACCAGGGATTGAATGTTTCAGACACATGACACACTCCACAAGCCTCAGGGTCTTCATTTATGGAGTGTGTCTGATATGTACTGTCTGCTAAGATTATTGTGGTGCATATAAAGCAGCTGGCACCACATCTGTCATCCATTGAGACATCAAAGAGTGCCTGTTATTACTATGATTATTTTGACCCTAGACAATACCATCTCAATATGCTGAGATTTCTTTTTTTTTAATCCAGGAAATGTCAGAGAATAATGCAGTGCTATAGATTGGCATGAAAAAAGGAAACCTGTAAATCTCCACCCCTTAGAGAATATATTCTTTCGTGTGGCTGTTGGGGACTTCTCCCCATCTGGAGAGAATTCAGAATTCCTAGAATGTGTCCCAAGGTCCAACTTCTTCCCTCCTCTTGCCCCTCCCAGCTGCCTTCAGATGAAAACCATGCCTGTTCTCATTTCTTTCATCCCCACCAAATACCTAGCTCATGTAGAGCTTACCCAATAATGTCAGTTAACTTAAATAACTAATTGTTTAATAGAGTGGGCTCTAGCTTTTCTTTGCCAGGGCAAAAGACTATCATTCTTGTTTCTCAGAAATTTAATGGTGATAATGTGCATTAAAAAAAAAAAACAGTCAGGACATATATTCAAGTACACTGGAACAAGAGAACGGGATGCTTTCCAATCCTGCCCAGGGAACGTTTATTGAATATCCTAAAGTAACTACTAAAACCAGTTCGCTATCCTATGGTGTCTCATCTGGCCCGTGGACATTCCCCCTGCCCCCCAACCTCATTTGATCCATCACCCAACTTCATTTAATATTAACTCACCAACTGCCTCACCTCAGGGCATTTACACTTGACTACTCTCATCTGAAAACTTCCCCCACCTCCTCACCTCTTGACTTCTTTCTGCCTTAGGGGGTACCTGGTCATGTGCCTTCTGTGACTTCTTTTCGTGGTCTCCAGAGTTGTGTAACCAGGGGCTAGGGCCTTGTTTGTTTTATTGTTTTGAGTACTACCAGAGAATTTTCCAAAGAGCAGATGGTCAATTAATGTTTAAAAAATGAATGAGCCAGTGTGCCAGAAGTCTACTTTATTTCTTTTTTTTTTTTAGTTTACAGAACAATAGAAGAAAAATCATAAGCTCAGAATTAAACTTCGTTGGGGAAAACTTCTTTTCCATCTATTTCTTGATGATAATTTTATTGCTTCTTTCTCTCACATTTTGAAGGCTATGCCTATTCCAATCTCATCTTCTCATGTGCCAGATGACTACATGCGACGAAAGGTTTCCTGGGCTGTCTTATAAAAGAGCAAACAATCTTACTCTTAAATCTCAGAGGCAGCAAGCAGTAAATGTGCAACCAATATCATTCATACACTTAGATTATGAAGTTAAGGAAATCTTTGTTTTTTAAAAACAGAAATATTTGAAATTTTTAGCAACAAAAGATAAACCTATAAAGTACTCGTGCAGAACAGGTACAAATATATAATGGACACGGCTCCCTCTAGACCCATTTCAATGCCTCCACTACTTATAAAGTTGACTGCTTACTTTAAACCAAAGTGGAGAAACTGCTTCTGACTTCACTAGAAGTGGAAAGAGCTGCCTGGAACCCTGTGATGTGCACTGGGTATAGCATTAGTACGAACCAGCGCTGCAAATCTGGATCGGGCTTTCGCTTCTTCGTCTCTCATAGCCTCTTCATACCAGGCTGGGAAGGCACTGGGCACGGTATTATGGACCCTGGCCAAAAACTCCAGGACTTCCATCTTGCTGGTTTCAGCAAGGGCTTTAGGACCCCACAGGAATTCGTAGCGTGGAGGCTCACTGTTGGGCACCTGCCGGTACTCCAGGTACTTTTCTTTCACCAAATCATCGGTGATGAGCTTCCTGGGCTCCCCATAGATGAAATGCTTCTTCCCTGCATGGATCCCCATCACATTAAGCACTTCCCAGATGACATCCTCAGTGGCGCTGTTGCCCTTCATGAAGATCACACACAGGACGGTCATCAGAAGGCCGCTCTTGGGCAAGATGTCCTCACCAGGAAGGTTTCTATCACGGTTGCATCGTAACTTGCTGAACAGGGCATAGCAGTGCCTGGTGCTGTCGACTTCCTTCACATCAATGCCAAAGGCCAGCACCATGAGCTCTGTGGTTCTTCTGAGGATCTCATGGAAGTGATCTCTATGCTTTTTGATGACATACTTCAACATGTCTTCCTTTGTTGCGGTTTCTTTCATCTTATACTTGCGCAGCAAGAAATGAACCAGCAAAATCGCCTTCTGGTCGAGAGGGGTCCTCGTTGGGGCAAAACTGAGAGAGGAGGCTGCTAACATGTTTGCCACCTGGTCATCAAGCTGGCTGGCACCCCTCTCAGCTCTTTCAGCCGCAGCACCTGCAAAAACTGTGGTGATGGAAATGGCGCTGCCAGGCCCCTGGCGAGTGCTAGGTGGCTCCACAGTAGGCGTGCTCTGGGAAGTAGCCCCCAAAACAGGAGAAGAGGAGGCAGGCCCTTCCTCCTCTGCTGCAGTGGCCTGAGCATCCTTGAGACCCTGGGGGTCACCTCGAGCCAGGCGGCGTTTCTCCTGGGCGCGCAGCTTACTTTTATGACCACGAGGCATGGCGATTCTGCTCAGGGACAGCAGGCACAGGAGTGTGAGCAGGAGAGCAAGCGCTGTGAGCCCACTGGAGAAGGGAGGCTGAGAGACTTTGTGCACCTTCCGAGGGGAGGTACTGGCCTTGCTTTAACAAAGGCCACCAACGCAGTTTTCCTTGAGGGCACAGCTCTAACAACCCATAAGACTCCTGTTCTCCAGATCAGTTTGTCCTTTGAGAACCCTGTGAAGGAAGTTAAATTATGCCGCAGGCTAATTATGCCTGCTCTCCCTGCCTGGGGCTTCATGGGGCAGCACGCTGAGCCCAGTCTGGGTAGGCCTAGGCTCCTCCAGCCCCTCTCTGTTCTCTACATTCATTTACCATCAAGTCAATTCTTGAGCTCCCCTCCCCTCTGGTTCACCTAAGGCAACATCCTTATCACAAGAATTTCACCTTCCTGAGACTCCCAATGTGCCCTGAGACTCCCAAACCCAAGGAGATGTAATTCCTGCTGTGACACCCTGAATTGACACAGGAGAAATGTTCTGACACGTCCTTTCTCCTGGATGATTATGGTTTTCAGTCCTTACTCATTAATATCTCATTAAACCATGGCCCCCACAACCCTAGGACCCCTGGACAGAAAAAGGAGGCTCCTCTGCTATAACAGCTCTGCCTGGGGCCTACAAGGGTAGTCCTTAGCAGTAGGGCTCTGTGCCGGCTGGCCCTCTGTTGTAGGCTACGTGTGCCCTCACGCAGGGCCCCCTTTTGACTCCATGTAGTGACTGGGTGTTCTCACTCTGCTGACCTGAGACCATCAGCTCTGCTCAAGAACTTTATTCCCTGGGACCACAAAACAAAATTAAAGATGGCAGGCATTGACCTAAAACCTCGGCCACAGGCCTCCCATCTTGTATGGAGGATTGCGGGGTGGGCAGGGTGGGGCTCCTAGTGATGCAGCTGTCATTCGGAATGAGTAGGGCATACATAAAGCAGTTCTCATGAAGGTCCTCCTTTTGATTCTCAGCTGTGCTGTAGCCCTCTCCCTTCCAGAAAGTTGAGGATACATTCTTCAGACCATGGGTTTGATCTCCCTGAGACCCTTGAAGTAGAAAGTCATGGGGTATTTTCTTCAGAGTGCTCCATCCTGATCGTTCCAGGGATGACAGAGGGCAGGGGTCTATGGGGTTTTCCTCCAATGGAAAATGGGTCAGTGTCTTAGGCTAGATGGGAACCCTGCAACCCAAAGTAGGGGACCAAAGACAGGTGGCCTGGGCTGTCAGAGAAAATACATACTGACCTCTGGGGTGTGGTCAGCAGCCAAACTTACAATTTCGGGAACTTGTTTAGATCTGCTTTCTAAGAAGAAGCTGTCTCATATGATTTGGGGACACTCGGATCTTTGGGCCTGATTTAACATTGCTCAGTCCAGTAAAGTACCTTCCATTTTTGTTTCTGACCTTTATTATTAGTAAAAAATATAGTGACATCTACTGAGTGTGTGTGTGTGTGTGTGTGTGTGTGTCTACTCCTGCTTTGCGTAATTCACTCTTTTCATTATACTTAATTATAATATTCTTTTTAAAAGGTAGTCCTCAACCTCAAAAAGAACCTTCAGGTAGTTATCAGCACTGCCTTTGGAATGATCTTGCCTCAACGAACCCAAACTTTTGTGCTATCCTGTTATCACCCACGGTACTGACACTCATGGTCTGGGGTGCTGCTGTAGTGAAACAGTGGAAGCTGTCCTAAGGCACACTGACAAGAATCAGGGCAAGACTGTCTTTCTTTCTACTGCTGCTATCATTGGCAGATCTGTCTCAACTTCCTGCTCCACCTGCCCACGCAGAAAAACGGGTTCAACACAGAGTGAGCCTGTCCTAGAGGTTTCTGATTAATGTTGTCTCACTTCTACAGCTACTCCAGGGTTGATTTCGGAAACAGCAGCCCTTGCTTGGTTGCCACCTTTATCGCTACAGGAAAGGCACCAAATACATAAATAATGTAAGGAGAATAGATATCTGTAAGAATGACACAGGGATGCATCTGGCCTCCTCTGACTTTACAATGGTGGAGGAAAGTCAAACTCAACATCGGCCCAGTGATGTCAGAGTCAGACATGCCTCCATCCTCCAATCTTTTTTTAAAAAATCAATTTGAATACTAACCATCCCTCCCAGGAGACTCTACTTATCTGCTGGGTTCAATACCTAATTGTGGAGGTCACACAACTCACCGATTATATTCATGATTATGAGGTTTATTAGCAAAATGAGCAGGCTACGTTTCAGCGTCCAAAATGCTCAGGATACAATTCTTCCAGTCAGGAGCACCTCTTCTCAGCTGTGCCCATAAGCAAGTCTTTCTCTGGTCCTCAGCCTCTCAGCTATACAACTCCTTGGGCTCTGTCCTGCTCAGTGTTACAAAGTTCCTTTAGTCTCCCAAGATATGCCCAAAGGACACTCCACCCTACCCAAAGCCTCAACTCATAGGTGGTTGGCTCTAGCTCCACGGAACAGCAAATCTAACTGCCCCAATTACATGTCTAGGTGCATCTTACTCTACTATCAAGATTCCTGCCCCAAAGCATTCAGTCTTAGTTTCTCTATGAGTGGGCTGGGAAGCCCACTACTCTTGTCTCATGCTTTGGCTTTTAGTTCTGCTGCTGTTCCTCAGATGTAACAGCTCTCTGCCGCCTGTGTTGGAGGGTCACCACAACATAATCTCAGGTTCCAAAGAATGAACTCTGCTCCTGACTCTTCTTTTTTCATAGTAGTGAAATCCTCCATTCCTGCTTCAGAGATGACTCTTTTTATACCCAGCAGGATGGCCAAACTGACCAATCCCCATGTTAGCGTTCCATGTTTTCAAATCACAATTAGCTCCATTAAAAAACACTCCCAAGGGAATTATATAATCCTTTGGCAATTCCTTCACCTTTTCTTACCTGATCCACCAGGAAATGAGGAAATATACCCAAACTGCATGGTCTCAGTCATTTGGTGGGAGTTACAAAGATTGTAGTTATGAGTCATATCAAGTAAGTCACTGCACCACTTCTTAGAGTATCATTTCCCCATGACTAAACAACAAACATAGGGTACTGTTCTATGAAGGTGCTGTGTCTTAGGCCTGCTTCCATATAACGTTATAGTCTCAGAAACCCTGTAAATGGCTACTATGAGTTAGAATCAACTGATGGCAGAGGACAGTGAGTTTGGTTTGTGTGTGTGTGTGTGTGTGTGTGTGTGTCTTGTTTTGTTTTTGGATGATTCCATTATTTGAGTTTATTTTTAACCTAATTCTATCAGTAATTTCTATAGTTACCTCCCAAAAGATTGTGTAAATGTTTATTAGGTTTCTTTTTAGGTAAATCCTGGATTCTGTTGCTGTTGTAACTGGGATATTTTCTATTACTTGTCCCAATTAATTATTGATTTTATAAGACCACACTCTTGATTTTGCTGTTTGCTATTCATAGCTCTCTGATGTCTTATTCGTTTGAGTGTTATTTTTCTGTCCTGGTCCCTTTTGATGTTCTAATTAAATGACCATATAGTTACCATTTATTATCTTTCTTTTCAATATTCCAATATTTTATTTATTTTTATATCCCTATTGCTCTGTTATATTTTCCAGTACAGTTCAACAGTAGAAGCAGTACCATATATCTGTGCCTTAGTCATGACTTCATGGCAATTATGTTCATATAAGTTTCATATAAGGATTTCATATTCATGTAAGTTTTCTGTAGGTTTTAGGCAATGGAAAATCCCTTCTAATGTTATTTTGCTAATTTCTTATTAGGATAGGTGCCTTAATATGAGTAAGTTTGGCTCAAGTGTTCTTTTCTAGAGGTAGCTGTCTGCTTAGCAGCATGCCTGTTAAATTCAGTTTAGTCATTTCCCATCTTTTTGTATAGTTTGCATAAGGTTTTGTATAGTTTATATAAGTTAGAAACTAATTTTTCCCCAATTATGTGGTACGAACCTGATTTGTCCTGGAAATCTTTGAGAAGGAGTGACGCTTAGACTAGAGTCTCAGTTTTCTATCGATTGATTAAAGTTTTTAAAGTCTGTTGTGAAAGGTTTGGAATTTGTATTTTGTCAAAAATTGTTCTATTTCACTTGGAGTTCATATATCAATACATAATATGAATTTTTTAATTGACTAGAGGAATACAAAACATATGTAACAGTACCAAAAATAGTACAATGATCCCAATATGCCTGCCATGCAGCATCATCAATAAATACTCAAAACTCACTCCCATTGAGTCAATTGTTACAACCCCTACACCAATGAGTTTCTGAAATTGCATATCTTTACAAGAGTAGAAAGCCTCATGTTGGCTGGTGGGTTTGAAATGCTAACCTTGTAGTTAGTAGCCCAACAGGACAACATTAGGCCACAAGAGCACCTATCAATAGCTGTAGGTAAAGAAGTTTGATCAGACTAAAAGTGGTTTTTCACCTGATCTTTTTATCTCTATTTTGATCCATTTAAAATATGTTCTAGTTTTTCCATATTTTCTGCTTTCTTTTCAATTGAGGATTGTGTCTGTTTTACTTTGTTATGGCTGTAAGTTTTGGTTTTCCTTTATGATTGTTTTTCTCTATATGAAATCCAGGAGAGGTAAATATATAGAGAGGATTAATGAAACCAGAAGTTGGTTCTTTGGAAAGATAAAAAATGACACATTTTTAACTAGAATAACTAATAAAACACAAAGCCAAAGAATAGAACTGCCCCACAGGGTTTCTAAGACTGTGAATCTTTAGAGGAGCAGACAATCTCTTCTTTCTCCCATGGAACATCTGGTTGGTTTGAACTGCTAACCTTGTGGTTAGTAACCTGACACTTAAACCACTGCACTATCCGGGTTCCAGAAAACAAGAAAGAAACAACTAAATAAAATTACAAATCAAATTGGGGCATTAATATTAAATTTAATGTAGAAATTTAATTTAAATCAGAAATTAAAAACATCATAAGAGAATTCTATGAATATACCATCCAAATGAAA